TCTTCCCTACGTGGTCCCGAGTCTCTGGATGTGCACAAAGAGCTAAGCACAAGGTAGGGTCACGCACAGCTCGCAGGCAGGCACGGCGGGGTACAGAGAGCTGGGTCCTGGTAGGCAGGTCCGGCCTCCATCCAGCACGGCGGACTCCCGTGGCCCTGGATGAAGCTGCGCCTCGCCAAGCTTCCGTCTCCTGAGCTGGGAAATGCGTTAAGTACACCTGCCACATAGGGTTGTGGCGGGACAGGTGCCCGCCCCAGGCAGGCCCAGAGATAATGGGCCATCTCCTGGAGAAGGGGGCACGGACCTCCCTTCTCTTTCTTGGGGACCATTCTTGGATTTCATCTGCACTGGGCTGAGAGGAAGAGGAGGACCCTCACCCTTGTAAACCTGGAGCCCTGTGTGTTGATTGGTGGCCCAGGGTAGGTGCAGGGGGACAGGCAGTGTCGCCCCGGCCGCGTGTGGGTGGTCGCCTCTGGGGACCTTGCTGTTTGCACCTGAGAAAGGAAGAGGGACAACTTCAAGGAGTTAGCTGGCCAGTGTTACCAGCTGCCTTCTCAAAGCAATATTAGTGATGGAAGCATTAGCAGTTAATTACAGTGTCAGGAGAACAGATCGAGTTCCTGCATTCTGTTTTAAACATGTTTTTGCTGACGATTTTTAGTTTATTTGTGTCATTATTGATTGAGGAAGGAAAAGAAGTGATTTTTCCTAACTCCAAGAGGATCAACAGTTCTTATATTGGTTGATTTCATTATAACAAGATCAATACAGTCTGTGTTAGTGGATTACATATTTTAAAACTCAATTTCCTATAAGCAGCATACAGTGAGTAATAGAATTTTCTTTAACAAACATGTAGACAAGCAAGATAGTCTCAAGGTTAAAGGTTACATACCAGCTAACTGTGTGCTTCACGGAGCGTCGCCAGGAGAGGCCTGGTAAGCAGTCTGCTCCGTTTATGAAAGGTCCGAGGAGCAACAGCTCCGCACGCAAGGACCTTCACCCCTAGCGAGGCCGCGGTTCCTGTTCAAGACCCTTTCCGATAAATGGTTCCCAGCCTCTATCCCTATCTCCTTAGCAAGATGCACAGGCCAGCCCACGGCATTATGCTCTCATGGCCTCGCAACAAAAACTCCAAGTCATCCACCTCTCAAGGTTTCTGCTGCTCAGAATCCACATCCCTCAGCATCAGCTTTTAATGTAACCAAGGATGAATTCAGTCATTCCGGTTCAAGTTTCTCAAACGACAATAGCTCCCTTTTGTAGTTTGCTGTCTGCCTTGCCATGTGGAGTGCTTTGTGTACCTGCTGCGTGTGCCCTCCGACAGCCTTGTGTTCCTGAGGGCGTGCGTGCGACCCCGTGGCGAGGGGGCATGCCCGGGGCCCTTCCACTGGAAGTGGCAGAGCTGGGGTGAGACCGGGTCCCTGGGGTGCTCAGCTGCTCTGCTGACCGCCTCCCGCTGCCGAGAACATGCCGACGAGGCGGCTGGGAGCCTGGTTTCCGAGCCTCGTCTTGTCCGAGGCTGCCTCACCAAACAGAAATTCCCCCTTAGTCTTTCCCATTGGGTATCTTAGTCTTTAACAATTAAAAAATCTTTTAGTTTTGAATTGTTTTAACAAAGGAGTATAGTAAAGGCTTAGTTGTTATACGGTAAGTGGGAATAGGGAAAATATATAAACTCTAGCTTGTCTTCTAACTGGAAAATTTTAGTTCTGAAAAGACATAGACTCTCTCAGTCTCCTTAGAGGGTTGAGGAAGAATAACATATTCAGAAATACTTTTTTTTTTTTAACCACCAAAAGCTCAATCATCATCTTTTAGCAACTCAGCTCTCACTTTCCCTCCCTTCTCCTCCCCATTGTTGGCAAGACTGTGTCACTGCACTTTTTGAAAACCTAGGCGAGTTCACTGCCGTTTCTGAAACAAGCATATGTTCTGTGCTGTGCTCCAAGAAAGAGGGAGACATTTTTCTCCAGGCAGACGAGCTTGTTTTTCCTTTTGGACTCAGGATTGGCAGTGAATCCCAGTCGAGCAAGAAGTCGGCAGTAGGCACTGTCGTCTCCATCAGGAGAAAAGACTCAGCCTGCGGGGGCCTTCTTGGTGGGGTGCAGGCTGCCCTGGCGTCTGAGAGCTCCTGTTCCACCCAGAGGACGTGACTGGGGCCTGCCCTCAGCCCCCAGTGGGGTCCCCCGGCCACTAGGCAGGAGCCAGTGTCTTCAGACCTGTGCTGCAGGCGAGGCCCGACCTGGATGCCCTGTGGTGCTGCCCCCAGGCCCAGATAGACGGGGGAGTGGAGATGGAAGGGAGGTGCCCGCCTGCTCCTCCTCCTCGGGATGGGGACTTGCTAACTGAGGACATCATGGTTGGGTCCTGACTACCCTCTTGGGTTCCAGACGGGCTTCAGGAAGGAAAAGAATCAGCTCGAGGAATACCAGGTTTCCAACCAGATCAATTAATTGCTGCTTCCCTAATTATAGGGATGGAGCACTCGCCCACCCCAAGTCTGCTCATCTCCCCGTGTCTTTCTAGAATCCTTCATTTTTAGAAAGCAGGGTTACAAAAACATTAGTGCAATTTAAAGTCACTTCATGCTGGCGAATCTCTTCCCAGCCTTTGCCCACGTCAATCCTGCGTAGTCCTCTTGTAGTTCAGAAACAGGTGTCAGGCATTGTCCATCGCCCACAGAGCGCCGCTTCTGATTCCAGTGTCACACGGCTTTTCATCATCCCGCCAGGCAGGGCCCTGTGCTCGCCTCCACCGCCCCTGGGGGGGGAGGGGGGTGGGCAACTGGGCTGCTGTGTGCAGTCCCTCACCAGTACCAGTGACAGGCCGCGATGTGGCCAGCTCCCGACGACACTGCGACCCGGGATGGCCATGAGCACCTTTGCACATTGCATTTTGTTGCAGAATCGTCAAGGGGCTTGTTAGGCTTAAAGAGGCATAGTCTTCATTTGTAAAAGGTCAAGTGTTTCCAAAATTTCTCTGATGACAAGTGGCTGCCAATTGTCGGCCTCTGGAAGGTATTAGGAAAAAGTCAACACACTTATTCATTCATTAAGGCGAAGGTGAGGCTTTAGCAGAGAACGAGGGAAACTGCTTTCGAAAAAATTTGTTCTACCAAAAGAACGTTAGGAAAACATGTTTTTAATTGTTCCCATCGTTCTGTAATTTTCGTTGCCAAACTCGATGTAAAGTGTCACCTATTAAAAACTCTAATACCTGCACCCTTAACATGGGAACAGCATTTTTCCAATCAGCTTTAAAATACTTGCAATGAAAATTTCAATGGATTTTGAATGGGGTTGTTAAGTTGCAGGAGCCAGTATTGGACACCAGGGGAGGGGGCTTTTAGAGCTACATGTTCGCACACTGCTCGCAGAGCTGGGTGGAAGCGGGCCGAGGGTGAGCATCTCCCTCCACCCCTCACCCCCGTCCACACGCTTCTGGAAGGGGCTTTGTGGCTCAGACAGACTTCAGGGAATAAACAGAGGCTGGAACCGGGCTACTTTCAAATCACCGACTGACAAAAAAGTTCCTTGCATTGGAAAAAAGGGAAGTATAGTCAGTTCTGTCATTCTTACTGAAAATATTAGGACTCATTAATGATTTCAAAGCAGTTTGTTGATCCTCTTCGTAAATGGCATGTTGATATATTTAAAAATACTGGTTATTTTCTCCTTGTCTCATCCTTTAAAATAGTCTATTTTTGGTATTTGTTGTAATGTTCAGAGTATATTGGTACAGAGCACATTGTATCACTAATGAATAAGCATGCAGAGGTTGGCCGTGTGAGTTCCCGGCTTCTCACTGATGGGGCACGCAGTCAGACAGCCCCGAGACCCATCCAGGTCAGGGTACCGGTCAGTGGCTCTCGTGTCCTTCCCTGGTGATGTGGTGGGACATTCCACCAGGTGTGTGGGGTCCTGAACACGAAGCACGGCAGCCTTCAGGAAGTGCTGTCTGTAAGAGGAAGTGACATGGGAGAGGTCGGTGTTCTTGGCCACCAGCTTCTTGTGCCCCTCACTGCCCGCTGCCTCAGTCCACTGGGGGACTTCCCATGGGCCAGCGGCAGTCAGGCGTGTCCCTTGTGGGCCAGGAGAGCCGTTGTCGGCTTCTCTGCAGGAAGCCGCCAGGCTGGCGTGACCTGGTGTGGTGGCCTGGGCCTGGGGACACGCACAGAGGCAGCCCTCAGACTCTCAGTGTTGAGAACGGCCCCCACGCCAGCCCGGTTCCTCACTGTGCTTTTTGGGGGGTTGAACTGGACACATGAGAACTACAGCCAGTGCTTGGGTGCGAGATGCGACTGTGAAGACGGAGGAGCGCTGGCCCAGAGCCCCCGAGACCAGCTCAGGGCACACGGACACTTGCACAAGGCATGTAAGTGCTTGATGCCCGTCTGATGGCAGATATATAAGGACACGGACGGACTCGAGTCCTGCAGAACCGGTGGGACTCTGAGGGTCCACACCACCTGCACATTGGGAGTTTGGGCCAATGTGATGTCACACTCTCCTTTGTCACCAGAGTCTCCTGCCACCCTCACTCCAGGCTCAGTACCAAACCCTTCGTGGGTGAATAAGGTTGTGATTGTAAGATGGCTGGTCCTACAAAGACCACTCTGGAGGCCCCTGGTTTCCATCAGACTTGCAGACCCCAGGTAACGACTCTACTGTGTGAGCTGTGCAGCTTGGCCATGTTGCTCAGCCTCCCCAGTGTGGCGTGTTTCTGTTGTAAAGTGGGTCAGAGCACACAGAAGGCGGCGTTCAAGGATCCAGCCACTAGTTTAGCCTGGGGAGGGGGTCCCGCTAATCAGGGCCCGGTGGCCGAGAGTGAGGCGAGTTGCTGCTGCCGCTGTTGTGTTTCCAGGGTGTCTTCCCTGGCTGCCTCAGGCCCAGGTGGGCAGTGTTGGCCTGTAGCTTCATCCCAGGTAGCGTCTTTGTCTTAAAGATACTTATTTTGTGATCTGAGTATTTTTTTCTCTTCTCTTTTTTGTGTTGTAGGAACCCAGGTATTCAGTGGTCAGAGTAACTTCAGAGTCACTACCTTGAAATTTCATCCGAAAGACCACAACCTTTTTGTGTGTGGGGGCTTCAGCTCTGAGGTCAAAGCCTGGGATGTGAGGGCCGGCAAGGTAAGCCCGTCGTCTTCTCCTGGCCTTCCCTCGGAGAGCCTGCCATGGCGATTTTAATGGCTGGGGGCAGGTCCACACCTCCAGCTAGGATGCTTCAGATGGATTAAATACCACTACTTTTTAATCAGTGCTAAGCATAATTTTTAGATGTTTTGAAAAACAATTTTGAGTTGTTAGACTATTAAAACATCATCGGTGCCATTCTGTACAGCATAGTACCAACAATATTTATTGAACAGCTACTATGTGCAAATGCTTCCAGATAATGTAAAATGAATGAGTCTCAAGGGAATTAACGTGTGATACAGATAACTGATGCGGATGAGTGTGTGTGTGAGTGTGTGTGTGTGTGTGTGTGTGAATGTGGGCGAGAGAGGGAGGGAGGCAGGGAGGGGCCAGCATTCAGAGGCAGGGAGTGTTTTCAGCTTGCTGTGAGGAAGGCTTCTTCGAGGAGACTGTGTTCCTTTTGGGGCTTAAAGGCTGCTCACCATCAGTCCCCCAGGGTAGTGATCTCCACTCCCACCCTGCACACAGCCTGCTGCTCCTGTCGCCTTCACCAACCTAATAAGGGCAGCCCTATCCCTTCTAGTCATTCGGGCCAGAACCATCAGAATCACCCTGTCTGTGCTCGTTCTGTACCCCTAAACCTGACCTGCCAGGAGATCCGGTCATGAGTCTGGATTAAGCTGCTATTGCCTCCCACTGGTATCATTGTAGAGGCGTCTGTCTGGTGTCTCTTCCCCCCATGCCCCTTGCAGTTTGTTCTCAACAACTGGAGGCCAGAGTGGTCTGTGACAGTGTATGCCCAGTGTGTTGCCCATCTGCTCAGAGCCCTCAGGCTCAGGTCTTTCTCACAGTGAAAGCCAGTGTCCCTGCTGTGGCCCACTGGCCTGCATGATCTTCTCATCCCCACTAGCTTCCTTGCCTTTCCTAGAACACACCAGCACATTCCAGCCTCAGGGCCTTTGCACTTGCTGCTCCTTTTGCCTGGAATGTTTTTCTCCCAGTGTTCTGCTGGAGGCTCATGACCTCCCTCCTGCAGGGTTCTACTCAAATGCCACTTCTCCAGGGAGGCCATCCTTGACCACCATGCCAGCTGCCCCCTGGCATTCAGTAGTCTCCTTTGCACTTACCATCACCTGGTTTTACAAGTTCATTTATTTGCCTGTCTCCTTCCATCTATATATATCAGTGGTTCTCAACCTTCCTAATGCCACGACCCTTTAATACAGTACCTCATGTTGTGGTGACCCCCAATTTCATTGTTACAAGTTGAACATATTTAAAGCATAGTGATAAATCACAAAAACAATATGTAATTATATATGTGTTTTCCGATGGTCTTAGGCGACCCCTGTGAAAGGGTCATTCTACCCCAAAGGGGTCACGACCCACAGGTTGAGAACCGCTGATATATATATAAAAGGCTAAGTGCCCATCCAACCTGTAGCCATGATGTGCACTGACCACCAGGGAGCAGACGCTCAACACAGGAGCTGTCATGACGCACACTGGCCATTTAAAAATAAACAGCACCACAGACCTGGCGCTGACAAACCAACATTTGGTTTCCCCCAAGTGGGACACAGGCCCTGCCACCACCCCGGAGTGACACCTCACCAAATCACAGCCAATGCTGCCAAGACTCCATGGTGCAAAATGCGGCCCACAGCCCAGCGCAGCCCAGAAACGGTCGCTGTGGGCACCAGGTAATGACGTCGCATAGCGACGCCCAGCTTCCTCTCCCTAGTGACGAACCTCCTTAGAGTTTCTTCAGCCCAGGAACATGACTTGCTTTATAGCCAGGTGTAAACATTTTACACTTTAACCAAATGTTTGTGAAGCGTTTTCACATGCCTCATCTCATTTGATCCTGGAGTAGGTAGATAGAAGACTCGGGGGAATCCTATTTTCTTTTCATTAGCTGGAAAATGGAGATTTAGAAAGTTTAGAAACTTGACCCAACTGCAAGAAGTAAGAAATGGTGGACCTTGAAAATGACTTCAGGTTTTCTCACTGCACAGAATATAGTCAAACACTGCTACAGTTAAATATTTTACCCTTTGTTCTCCCTGCGTGATCTACAATAATAATCTGCTTCGTGTTGATATTTACTGCTGTGTTGCTGACAATTACCTGAAAGAGAATTTGGGATGTTTCACTGGGCTGGTAAAAGTTTAGCTACATCAGAAAGCGAGTCTAGTTAAGCAAGTTTATTCTATATCTATCAAAGGCTAAGTTGACTCGCACATGCACGATACATATAAAGCTCTTGCTGTCGCCAATCGCACGCGTGTGTTTCAATCTGTCATTGTCTAGTGTGAGTTTGGTTGACACTTCTATTATAGAGAAAGGGCGAATAGCGACATTAAAATATTTCTTCTAATTAATTTCCTTTCAATGTGCACGAATCCGTGCACTGGGACATCAGTAAAACATACGATCCTCCAAGGCAGGGAGTTTTGTTTGTTGCTGACTTCTAGCTTCTAGAACAGTGCCTGGCATATACAAATCTTGGTTGCCTGAGTGAATGAGGGAGGAAGGCAGTCATACCGAGCGTACAGTACAGGAGGTGGTAATATGAAATGTGGGCAGGGACTAGTGACCGGCTCACCTTGACTGGGCATGGGCTCCAGGCAGTGGGACAGGCCCGGGAAGAGACTGTCAGTGCTGTGGGTCTTGGTTTGGATTAGCAGAGGGGAGCTGTGGGAGGCTTGTGAGGAGGGTGCCGGGATCAGGGCTGAGGAGGATTCATGGAGGGGTGAGGAAGAGAACGGACTGACCGGGGGCTCGACACAGTCAGGAGGGTTTGTATTCAGGATCTGAGAAGTACTGCCCTGGTCTGAAGAAGGCACACAGCCCCTAGGGTTGAACTTGACTTTGAAAGAAGAAGGCGCAGAATGTCAGTGTCCCAGCCTGAAGGGCTCCAGCCTGCAGCACCTGCACCCTAAGGTCCCACCTGAAGGCTGTCCCGGACAGGTGCAGCCCCCAAGCAGGCGAGTGTTAGCAGAGGCCCGTGCAGGTGGCCGGGGTGGAGGGAGGTGAGACAGCGCCCCCAGGGCCAGGCAGCTGAAGGCATCTTGCTTAAAGTACTTCACAGGTTGGAGAGTTAGTGCACAGACAGATGTACTCTTTTTTTTTTCTTCTTTTTTTTTATTCATTTTTTATTGTTGACAGTATTACAGAGGCTCCCTTTCCCTCCCGTTGCCCCCCTCCCCCCAATCCCTGCCTCACCCACGCCTTCACTGCACTATTGTATGTGTCCACGGGCTATACATATATGTATGTAAGTTCTTTAAGCTAATCTCCCCCCTCCCTCTTGTCTCTGAGATGTGTCAGTCTGTTCCATGCATCCATGTCTCTGGATCTATTTTGTTCATTAGATTCCACATATACATGAGATTATGTGATATTTGTGCTTCTCTGACTGGCTTATTTCACTTAGCATAATACTCTCCAGGTCAGTCCATGCTGCGACAAAGGGTAAGAAATTCTGCTTTTTTACTGCTGCAAAGTATTCCATGGTATAAATGTACCATGGCATTTTTATCCATTTATCTGCTGATGGGCACTTCGGCTGTTTCCAGATCTTAACTATTGTAAATTGTGCTGCTATGAACATAGGGGTGCATATAGTCTTCCTAATTGAGTTTTAGGACTCTTAGGATATATTTCCAGAAGTGGGGTTGCTGGGTCAAACCGTGGTTCCTTATTTAATTTTTGGGCAACTCCATACTGTTTTCCACAGCGGCTGCACCAGTCTGCATTCCCCTCAGCAGCAGATGTACTCTTTCAGGTAAAAAGTCATGCAGGCGCCCCTGTGCCGGTTCAGCAGCTTCCTCCTGAGGCTGGAGTGCTCAGCCCACCGCTGACTGGGCGCTGGACGCAGCCCCACCGCTCAGGCCACCCAGTAGGTGGGAACCACCACCAACCAAAGAAATAAGGTTGACAGAAAATAGTTTCTAAAAAAACAACGTGTTTGTTTTTTTAAAATCACTTTTTTTTTTTTTAAACAAAGAAACTCTTTTTACAAAAATATTTGGGAAAGAGAAAAGTTACCCATAAAGGAGTAGACAGCCCTCGCCGGTTGGACTCAGTGGATAGAGTATCGGCTTGTGGACCAAAGGGTCCTGGGTTCAATTCTGGTCAAGGGCACATTCCTTGGTTGCAAGCTCCTCCCTGGCCTGGGCCCTGGTCGGGGCTTGGGTAGGAGGCAACCAGCCGATGTGCTTCTCTCACATCGATGTTTCTCTGTCTTTCCCTCTCTCTTCTACTCTCCCTAAAAATCAATGGAAAAATATCCTTGGGTGAGGGTTAACAAAGAAAAACAAAAAGAAGTGGACACAGTGGTATTTTAGAAAAATACTAGAACACTTATGTTTGGGAAAATACGCGATGAATGAAAGAAGCACTGGAAAGAGCTGTGGAGTTGGAATCTCTTGGCCACATGATCACCGGATTCCCCGGCCCCTGCCGAGGGCCCTGTCTCTTGAAGGTGCCCTCCCTGCTTCTAGCCTTAAAAACCGAACACATAAGAAATTGCTCACCACGGATGCCATCTGATTGAAGAGTTTGTTACAAATATCAGATTTTCTCCTGGGGCTGAGGCCAGCTGACACGGTCTGAAAATGCTGGGGGAGAAGCAATTCAAAGCATAGGTTGCTGTGACTGGTACTGGCATGTTTCAAGTCTCTCCCAGGCTAATAATACGGGTAGAGGGATGTGCAGTGTTTGTTTCTACTCCCTTCTTACCAGCAATCCGACTGCTTCTGCCCCCCTGCCCTGTCACTGGGCCTGCTCCATTTGCACCAGCCAGGCTTCAGGAACAGCTCTTTCCTGCTTCAGTTGTTCCCTCTGGCGGGTGTTGTGAGAGCCTCACCTGGACTCTGCAGGAGGAAGGGAGGGGACAGGCACTGGCTCCTCCCAGCTGGGTGGCTCCCTGCCCAGTGTGCTGGGCGCTGTCCCAGGTGCTGAACGCCTGGCCCTCCCTGGCCAGCGCA